CCCCCCCCCCCCCCCCCCCGCACAAAAGTTGTAAAGTTCGGGGCTGGGGGTTTAGCCCAGAGGAAGGGCGCCTGCCCGGCGCGCTCAAGGCCCTGGGTTCAGTCCTCAGCCTGGAAAAAAAAAGCTACAAAAGACCAAAAAAACAAAAAACAAGGCAAAGTTGTCAAGTTCATTTTTCGACATAGTGACTTGTACATCTCATTGTTGCAATGGGTCCACCTGTATCCCTATAAACGATTTGTTTTTCCCCTTCCCATCCACAAATTATAACAACATCAAATACAGTGAAAGCAGGGGTTATACTGTGGGGGAGGGACATACAAAGCAATGTAAAGTTGTTTCTGTTTTTGTGAATTTAGCAGCTTTTCTTTCAGGTAGATAATAAATAATACACATCAAGACCAGGTTTACTGTTCTGTGGTGTGACTTTATTTTTTGCACAAAAACTATATATTGACAGATGTATAAACTATATATTCATAATGCTTAAGCTAGCATTATTTGGAAGGTTGAGCCTATCCAGTATGAGATAAGATATGGAGGTAGTTTGTGCTTTCTGTAGTTAAGAGCTCTTGTGCAGCTCAGAGAACCTCCAAGTTTCCTGGAGCTCTTCTTTCTCCAGGTCTGCAGCTGTTCTCTCACTTCTTTCCACACTGCTTTTGTATGATTTATTTGAGGTTTTCCTTTGTAGGCAGCACAGAATGTGTTAAACTTGATTTTGCAGATTACTGGCATTGGTGTGTCAGTGCCTGGAAGTCTAGAGTTTTCAGTAGGTATTTGGAAAAATTGGCTCCGAATACATGCCCTTCTTGTATATGAAGTTCTTCAACCCTTCCATTTATGCATCAAGAAATACTGTTTAGACAGGTACCATGTGTAATTATGAGAGAAAAAGAGATAGATGGGTAAATATAAGATACACTCTCAATGTCATGAGGAGTGCTGGTGCAGGACTAATGCCTGAATAAATTATATGAGAAAAACAGATATTCAAATGTTTAGATAAAAGAAGCATTGAGTATTTAAATTATTAAACTTCTTGTATTTAGATCCTTTTATATATGCTAAGTCTGCTGTAGAAGGGGTAGAACTTGATCTCATTTTACAGAAGAGGAAAGTGAGAAACATTAATTGATGATGAGGCTCCCTTTCAAATTGTCCAGAAACTCTGAATGTCCTACTGCATATTATATCCATCTGAACATTCATTCTGTTTTACTTATGCTTTTATCAAAAATGATCAACACTTCTTAAATTCAAAATGTAAATGGAGATGGCTAACATAAAAATTAGTGAAACTATAGCTAAGCGCTGGTGGCTCACTCCTGTAATTCTAGCAACTCAGGAGGCTGAGATCTGAGGGTCACGGTTCAGAGCCAGCCTGGGCAGGAAAGTCCTGAGACTCTTATCTCCAATAAACCACTAGAAAACTGGAAGTGGCGCTGTGGCTCAAGCAGTAGAGTGCTAGTCTTGAGCTGAAGAACACAAGGACAGCGCCCAAGCCCAGAGTTCAAGCCCCCACGACCGACCAAAAAAAAAAAAAGGTAGTAAAACTAAAATCTTTGTTACACATGTAAAATATTAGATTTTTCTAAAGTCTTTCAGTATCTAAAAGACAAAATATATTCTAGATTATATGGAAAAATTGTTATTACATTGGGGTTTTTAACCCTACATCTTGAATTTGATTAGAAGCTTTTGTACATAAAAAGCCTAGCTTCAATTATTTACCTTTCAGGGGTGAAGAATCTCCAGCCAGCAGATCATATGAAACCTGCAGAAATTTTTACGTGAGAGGACAGACATACTTTTCATGGGCTGCCCCCAGCTGTCTGCCTGCATTTATAATTTTTTATGGCCCTTGAATGTTATAAATATCCAAATGGGCCTTGGCAGAGAAAGATTTCCTACTCCTGATTTATTATATAGTGAAGTTTGTTTCTGGAAACATGAGTTAGATCTCTCTGGAATTACTCTGTTCCTGCCAGTTTGTTGCTTCCTGGCTACTTTTAACTAAAGTGTGTTTTTTAAAAAAAGGGTTGAAATGTGAAATCCACTCATTTTCAGAAATTTTCCATACTAGAAACTGTTAAAACTCATGTGTTTAATGAGTTTGACAGCCAAGAAGTAGTCTATTTTAATGTATGGATTGGTTTATTTCTGGAGAAAAGAAGAATGGCTATCCTTGTGAATTTCCTCTTGGACCTTGGAAGTGTCATAGGGGTAGTCAGATATGAGATAATGGCTATTGTGGAAATAAGAAAGTGTCAGGTTGGTTTTTTTTTTTTTTTTGCATAAGACAAGTGTCTTCCTCCTCTGACTCTTTCAGCTTCATAAACACTGTTGACTTTCCCCTGATTCTCTTTGAAGCTCTGCACCACTTGCCTTGCACTTTGGCAAGTGTAGGGAATCATAATATTCTAGCTTGAATTTTTATTGCATTTTTACACTAAAAAACAAGTCTAGACACTGATTTTCTAGAGTATTCACTTAGAGAGACAAGAGGTATTTTTGCAGTACTTTTTAACTTAACAGTTCAACTTTTTTTTTGGTTGTTTTTTAATTTTTTTTTTTTTTTGGTCAGTCATGGGCCCTGAACTCTGGGCCTGGGCACTGTCCCTCACTCAGCTCTTCAGCTCAAGGCTAGTGCTCTACCTCTTGAGCCACAGCACCACTTCCAGCTTTTTTCTTTTTGCTTATGTGGTGCTGAGGAATCGAACCCAGGGCCTCAGGCATGCAAGGCAAGCACTCTACCACTGAGCCACCTTCCCAGCCCCTGTTTTTTAATTTTTTTAAAATTATCTTTAAGTAGTTGTACAAACAAGTTCCCATTGTACAGAACAGTATATGTGTACAAAGTGTCTGACAACATTGTCACCCATCTCTCTTAACCCATCCCTTCTCTCACTTTTTTTAATTGAGATTAGGTGATTACATAAATTTCACATATTTCACAGTATTGTGGAATAGTGATACTTAGAGTCACAAACACATTTTAATTTTCACAAGGCAAATTGTCATTATCATGGTCTATACAGTTTGTGAATTCTATGTGCTTTGACAATAAAAGTTATTTTTTCCACATCAGGTGATGTTTACATTTACAGTTCAACTTCTAAGAGTGTTTTCATGGCTATTCTTTGCTGTTTTTACTATAAAGGGGAGTGGTTCTTTTTTGTTTTTGTTTCTTTTTTTTTTTAATTTTAAAATGAGTTTTGTTATCCTCATTTTACAGTTAATGGGGAGACTTACAGAGAGAACTTACGTGACTTTACATAGCCATACCTAGCATTTCAAGCAAGAAAACCTTTTTGAGTTATTTAATGGTTGACACATGCAAATATGCTCAGAAGAAATAGGCTTAAAGAAATTCCATAACCAAAAAAAAAAAAAGAAATTCCATAACCTTCTTGAGGTCATGCAAAAGAAACTGGCTTTCTGGTCAATGAGCAGAAGTGGCTGTAGGTACTAAGTTAGAGTCCCAGTTGCTGACCTAGAAAAGAAAAAAGAAAAAGAAAAGAAACTGACCTTTTCATCTTCCACCTTCCTTCTGTCCTTTTTTCTTTTTTAAAAATTCACTCAGGTTTATAGTTATTTGTGGATATTTTGTTGCTGAGATGTTTTCTCCCTGTAGGTGGAAAATTCACTGGCTTTCTTGTTTTTTTTTTTTTTTTTTTTTTGTCGGTCGTGGGGCTTGAACTCTGGGCTTGGGCGCTGTCCCTGCACTCTTCAGCTCAAGGCGAGCACTCTACCGCTTGAGCCACAGCACTACTTCCGGTTTTTGAGTGGTCTATTGGAGATAAGAGTCTCGTGCTGAGCCGGCATTGAACCATAATCCTCAGATCTCAGCCTCCAGAGCAGCTAAGATTACAGGCGTGAGCCACCAGTGCCTGGCTTCACTGGCTTTCAAACTCAGATATCAGTTGTTTATATAATTAAATAAAAGTAATCCTCAGTCAGGCCTACAGCGATTTAAGTGTATTTTAAATACTTAATTTTTTAATTTAGAATGTGAACTCTTTCTGGATAAACTCTCTAGTGAAAAGTTACTTATGTGCTTTTATGTACCTAGCATATGTTTTAAAATAGTTCTAAGGTGGTTATCATTTCTATTTTGTAGGTGATACACTGAAGAGTCTAATCACTTGTTATGGTACCTGATAGCCCAAATTTTCATGGTGATTTTGCATCAAAGAAATGAGAGGCTGATCATTTTTTTAGTGATAAAATGTGTTCTATATATTTTTCATAGGCAAAGGGTGTTGTGAATACAGCTGTATCTGCAGCAGTCCAGGCAGTTCGGGGCAGAGGAAGAGGAACTCTGACAAGGGGAGCCTTTGTTGGGGCTACGGCTGCTCCTGGCTACATAGCTCCAGGTTAGTACTGTATGAGATTATCTGCTTCTTTGGCACCTAGACCTTCATTTTCCAGGGTTATACAGGGTCCTTGGGATATAACACATAAAATTATTCAGAACTTCAAATGAAAAGAATGTATAGCCAGATGCTGGTGGTTCACGCCTGCGTGGTTCAAAGCCAGCCCAGGCAGCAAAATCTGAGACTCTTATCTCCAGTAAACCACCAGAAAACTGGAAGTGGCACTGTGGCTCAAGTGGTAGAGTGCTCACCTTGAGTTAAAGAGCTGAGGGACAGTGGCTACGCCCAGAGTTCAACTCCCACAACTGACAAAAAAAAAGAAAAAAAAAAGAATGTACAGACTACCGTAGGTTTTTTGTTGTTGTTGTTGGTCATGGGGCCTTAACTCTGGGCCTGAGCACTGTACCTCAGTAATACAGCTCAAGGCTAGCACTTCTGCTTATGTGGTGCTGAGGAATCGAACCCGGGGCCTCATGCATGCAAGGCAAACACTCTTACCGCTGAGCTACCTTCCCAGCCCGCACCATAGGTTGTTTCCCTTGGGTTTCTTTTTCTTGGAGGAAGATGACAGATGAGCAATATTGGACTTGGTTTTCATTTTGAGAATGAGGAGAATCTATTTTGTGGGAACATAGAAATTGTGTATATAAGAAGGGAAAAGTTGTTAACGGCCTTTTTAACATGGGTTGGGAGTGCATATAGGTGGGGAAGACTTTATTAGCATTTGTTTTTTGGAAACCATTAAAGGAAAAAATAGTACAAGTGATTTGCAAAACCGAATTTATCCTGAACTTGCTTATTATACACTGGATGTTTTCATATAAATTATTTAACTTAATTGTGCTTTTAATATTCACCATATTTTTCCTCAGGTAGAAATTAATTTCCAGATAATGAAAATAATATATAAAATTGAGTTCTAGGGAGATAAAGGTAACCAGCCTCAATGAAACAACTGCTAAGCATCAATGTAAGGATTTGAAGTATATGTTTGTAGTTCCAAAGTTTGTGTTACTCTTTTCTGCCACGTGGCTTGAGGGATAGCTGCCTTCTTTGTGCTTTCCATTCAGATCCCTATGTGGTTTTAACCATGGGTTTCCGGTAATTTTGTTAAAATGAAGTTCTTAGCAATATTGAACTGAGGAAAATTTCCACATGACAAGCAAGCAAGACACTTGTATTAATTGGTCAAGGTGAAACCTGTATAACTACTAGGTTTTAGCCAGGTTCCAGTGGCTTATGATTGTAATCCTAGCTACTTAGGAGGCTGAAATCTGAGGATCACAGTTTGAAGCCAGTTGGGCAGGAAAGTTCTGAGACTCTAATCTCCATTAACTACCAAAAAGCCCAAAATGGAGCTTATGGCTCAAGTGGTAGAAGTGCTAGCCTTGAGCAAAATAAGCTTAGGGATAATGTCCAGGCCCTGAGTTCCAGCCCCAGGGCTAGAATAACAACAAAAAGATTAGGTCTTAATTCAGTAAGATTTTTTAGGTAACATCCCTATAAATTCCCTTATAATTGTATTTTCTTCTAAGTAAAGTAGAATAGCTTATTTGGGAGTTTTATGAGTGATAGGACTTTGGAAAGAGAACTCTAGAGGTTGATTCCATTTATATTGCTCCAAAATATGTTCTCATAAATATGTGCTTTATCACATAGTAGATCTAGATTTTGTTCTCATGCAGATTACAGTTTGAGGGGGCAAGATGTATTGACCAGGTAGTAGCAGTTACAGATTGAGGTGAGCAAGCATGGAGGAGATCATGCTATGAAAGCCTGTAACAGAGGACCCTGATGTAGTCTAGTTGGGTCTCTGAATGTTTCCCTAAAGAAGTGACACTGGAAGGGAGCATTGGAGATGACATTTTAAAAGCTTTTGAAGTTTTACAAAAAGATATTCTTTCGTGGCCTAGAGAAGATTCATTCATTTAGGTCAGTCTAGATAATGATTAAGTTTGTACCATTTCTGGAGCATATTCTGTGTGACATGGATTATTAAAAGTATTTTTATGTTAACACAGAGGCTAAGTGATGCCAAAAAATAGATATAACTTGCTCATAAGAGGTAGCAGTATTAGATTCCCAATGGCCTGATCAGTAACCAGTTTCATAGTTGTAGATTCATCTGTTTTTAAGGAGCTACAGCGTCAAAACTGTAGCATTGGTAAAGTACTTATCAAATTTCCTGAAATAGATTTTATATACAGACTTTTTTATTTTGGTCAGTTGTGGGGCTTGAACTCTGGGCCTGTGTGCAGTCCATGAGCTATTCAGCTCCAGGTGAGCACTCTACCACTTGAGTTACAGTGCCATTTCCGGTTTTCCATGATTAATTGGAGGTAAGAGTCTCACAGACTTTACTGCCTGGGCTGGCTTTGAACTGTGATCCTCAGATCTCAGCCTCCTGAGCAGGTAGGATTACAGGTGTGAGCCATTGGCACCCAGTTATTCCCAGACTTTTTAGTCTTAATTTCACCTTTGGCCATTGCTGTCATGTCCTCATCCTACTGATTATTTCAGCTGCATTGTTAGTGGAGATGTGGCTCAAGTGATAGAGCACCAGCCTTAAGCAGAAAAACCAAATGAGTAGTGAGGCCCTGAGTGCAAGCCCTGGTACCATCACCCCCAGAGAGATTGTGTGTGTGGGGTGCATGTGGGAAGGATTTAGCTGCATTGTGTCCTGCTTAAATCTACAATTTAGTGAAGTACCCCAGTTTAATATAATTCAAATATAGACTAACATGTCAAGAAACCAAGAACAAAACCTGCCACCCAATAGGAAATGTTTTGATTCAGGGCCTGAAAGCAGTTCACTTCTTTGGCATTCTTTTGAGTGCTTTATCTCAAACAAATTTTCAAAGTTAACTAAGATTTATTGAATGCTCAAATGGGGCAGGACAAACACTTGAATTTGGACTGTTCAGTATGAAGGCAGTGTAATATAGAATCAATAGCTGTGTGATTTCCTAGGAAAGGTGACATTTGATCTTGAACTTAAAGGATAATTTATAGTTGGTTATATAGAGGAGACAAAACAATTCATTTGAGCAGAAGAAATAGAAAAAGGAATAGGTGAAAAGGCTAGATTTCTTTTGGTGTAGAGATTTGTCTAGAGCCCATTTAGGTGTCATGGCTTTTTTCTGGTTTTTTTTTTTTTTTGGTCCGGTTGTGGGGCCTGAACTCTGGGCCTGGGCGCTGTCCCTCAGCTCTTCAGCTCAAGGCTAGCGCTCTACCATTTGAGCCACAGCGCCACTTCCAGCTTTTTTCTTTTTGCTTATGTGGTGCTGAGGAATCAAATCCAGGGCCTCATGCATGCAAGGCAAGTACTCTACCACTGAGCCACCTTCCCAGCCCCCGGCTTTTTTCTGTTTTAGACATTACTTTCCAGCTGGGCACCATTGACCTATCACCTGCAATCCTAGCTGATAAGGAGGCTGAGACCCAAGGATCATGGTTTGAAGCCAACATGTACAGAAAGTCCATGAGACTCTTAATTCCAATTAACTTTCAAAAAGTTGGAAGTAGAGCTGTGGCTCAGGAGGTATAGAATGTTAGCTTTGAGCAGAAAAGCTCAAGGACAGAGCCAGTGCTCCTGAGGTCAAGCCCCATGACCAGCACCAAAAATTCCCCTCCTCCAAAAAAACAAAAATCCCCACACTTTCTGGAGACTTGATGAAGCAAGTTTGTATTTACATATTGGAAAATTAAAAACTGAAACTTCTATTAACATGGTGTTTCAATTCTTACACTATAAAGAAACATGGGAGCTTTTTTATTTTAAAAATAAGTAGACGGCAACTTAAACATTATTTATCCAAGTAAGGATGTATAAGAATTAGTGCCAGAACTAATTTGCTAAAAAACATCTGTGTTCTTTGTACTGATTCTTGTTTAATAATAGGAGCATTTTTTTTAATAGGAGCATTTTAAATAAATACCAGATGCTAATTTACTTAGAGACTTGGTGCTGGGCCAGTCATTTAGATATCAACAAGTCATGGACTTTGCCCCAGGCTCAGACTTGAGCCATGTGTTCCCTTAGATGGCAATTGGGGCCTCAACCTATTCTGTCACTGTTTTCACAAATGAGATGGGGAAAGTGCTATTTCCAACTTAGAGAAATTAGTGATTTGAATGGTTCTAAGTATTCTTTGGTTTAACAGATGCTATATATTCTGCAAGGTGTAGATGATGTAAAAATGGGTAAGACTTGGCCTGTGTCACTCTAGTAAGAAACATGGACAAATGGCTAATTAAAATGCTGAATGGAAATGAAATGAGAGACATAGGATATTGTGGTGGGTTAGTGAGAGCCTTATGGGCACAGAGTGGCTAGACTATAACTACACTTGGGCATGATTCTCTGTTGTCTAGCTTCTGGCCTAGGGTGCCAGGCCAGGTAGTTTGTGAATCAGGCCAATGCAATTGCCTTTGGTTCTGAATTGATTTGCATTCTTCTTCTTCGTACCAGGCTATGGAACACCTTATGGTTACAGTACAGCTGCCCCTGCCTATGGTACGTACACAATCTAATTGATTCCTCCTTTAGCAAGTCTGTCAGAACAATCCAAAGCACAGTTTGTATCCAAGGTTTCAGTCAGTAAATGAATCAGGGGATTTCAGACCTAATCATTTTAGTGACACAACTTAAATTCCCTTTGGAAATGCCACAACCTTGTGGTTCTTGGTTTGGTTAGAGTTGCTCTTCTCTCTGCTTTGCCTGATTGAAGGACTGCTTGTTCTAATTGCCTGTTTCTGACCATATTGAAATTAAATATTTTAAGTAATCCTTCTTACAGCCAACTTACACTCCATTCAAAGGCTACTAAAGGGCCATGGTCAGTTTCTAGCCTGGTTGCCTGCCAGCTGTATAATCACATTAACATTTCTGGTTTGGTTTATATCTGTGTGAACAATGGGTGATTTGAGTCAAAACTAGGAAACGGTTACTTCATATTTGTACCTATCATCCTTTTCTATCCATTTTGCTTTGGGGGCTGAGGTAAATGGTTATCATTGGTCCTAAAGAGGAACTGATGGTGGATTTACCAACATGTTCCATAAGTTCTGCAAAAAGCCAGTTGTTTATTCTAGAAAATCAATAGCCTTCCCCCAACCCCAGTTAAAAAAAATAACAGCAAATATGCAAATTAACTTCATTGGCCCTTTGGATAACTTTTGAATGAGGTTTATGTGGCAATGGAGGCAGTAGGTTTGGAGTCAGTGATATGCTCTTAGTTTCCCTAACTCAGGTGCTATATGTTATAGACTCAGCCATCTGCAGGATGTTTGTAATTGAGAGAAGAGATAACAAGAGAGTATGTGTGCATGTGTGTGACAATGTGTGTCGGCACAGCCCCAGGCTGGGTGTGCATGCACACAGAAAGCAAAAGCCCTTCATGTATTGCTCTTTGTGACATGAATCCTCTACTTGAACATTTTCCTCTTCACATAAACTCTGCCATATTCATCTGAATGAAAATTATAGATCCTTAAGACATTGCTAAACCGAATCTTCATTTGATTTCATAATTGTAGAAGTAAGTACAAAGTACAAAGTGAATAGTTTGACTCTTTGCCCATTAAGATAGTTTATTATATCTTGAAAAGTTGTAGAGAACTGGCAAGGGCCAAACATGTGGAACATTTTTTTTTTTTTGTCGGTCTTGGGTCCTGAACTCTGAGCTTGGGTGCTGTCCCTCAGCTCTTCAGCTCAAGGTTAGCGCTCTACCACTTGAACCACAGCACCACTTCCGGCCTTTTCTGCTTATGTGGTACTGAGGAATCGAACCCAGACCCTCATGCATGCAATGTAAGCACTCTACCACTGAGTTACTTTCCCAGCCCTGGAACAAGTTTTGTTTAGGCAATATAAAGCCTGGACTTAAATCCTTTGCTTGATAGGTTTAAGGCTCATGCTTGTAATACCAGCTGCATAGTAGGTAGAGAGAGGAAGGTGAGGTTTTTTGGTGAACACAAGTTAGACCTTATCTCAACAATCAAGCTGGGAGTAATACCTGTAGTTCCAGCTACATGAGAAACTTAAGTTGGAAGAGCATAGTCCAAGATTAGCTCCAGGTAAAAATGTGAGACCCCGTCTGTAAAACAAACTAAAAAAAAACTAAAGGTATAGCTCAACTGGTAGCATGCTTGACAAGCACAAAGCCCTGAGTCCAAACCCTAGTACTGCCCCCCTCCAAAAAACCTCCTTAGCCTGTTTCCCCTCAGACATACCCAGGTATGGATGAGGGCTTCCCCTAGTTCTGAGCTAGAGTAACATTATAACAGTTGGGAATTGAGGACTAGTCTAGGTTTCCTTCTGAACTGAAACTAGCTCTTTTTGATTTGGCCATTAGCTTCTGCCCTTCATCAATTTCTGGATATCCTTATTGCCACATCTTTCTCGATCTAGGTCTGATCCCCTTACCCTGATCCAGTACATTAGCTTCATTTGCTTTATTATGTCTTATGTGAATTCTTTAGAGCCTGCCTTCCAGGGCAGATTTTTAAGTCTGTCTTTGTAATAGTCGCACAGTAAGTTTTTCAGATTCTTTAGTTCAGGTTTGCCAAAGATTGCTTGCTTTTTTCCTTTTAAAGCAATTTGTATCTAGATTCTTAGGTTACATCCATGTTTTTCCTTAGTCTTTAATTTTCTCTCTTGGTCCTCTGTTTCCTCTTTTAACATTATGCTGTCACTCTGTGGCCTCTGAGCCTCAGTTCAGAGGGCTCCTCTCTTCCATCTGCCATATAACTGACTTCCAAAGCTGGTGAAGTTTGATGCCCCCATTTTTCACATAAAAGATTTGGTTTTTAAATGTTACTGTGATGCAAACCTACTAAAACGATGCTTTATTTTGGCTGTAAGGTAAATATGTCTTTTGGCCTTTGTAAAGCTGTTGCATGTGGGGTAATTTCCCTCTGATCATCTGGTGCTCTTGAATACCTGCTGTTGCTGCTTTGTGATTTCTCCGTAGGTTAAATATCAGAATAAGCATAGGAACAGATTTCAAATCCTGCTTGAGTATGCAGAAGTTTGTGAGGCCACAAGAACGTATTAATTACAAAATTTAGAAAGTAATTAATCTTTCCAGATTTGCCATGCCAATATTGGCAGCAGCCATTAAGAAGATGAACCCGGAGGCAGTTCTCGTTGTTTGAGGCCTGCCCAGAAAGCTATGCTGTGTATCTTAACAATCCCTGTTTCTTCTTTAGTATGTGATGTGCCAAATTGAGAACCATGTGGATTTCAAGAGTTACTTTAGAATATCAATATCAATCAGTAGCATTGCTTTTGATTTTTAAACTTCAAATGACAGCTCATTCAAAGTGTCATTTCTCAGTATCATTTTTTCCTATGATGTAGCCATCTCACTTTTGAGTAGAAAAATATCAGAAATACAAGAATAATTTCAAAGTAGGAAATCTGAAAAAAAAAATTGGGCCTCTTCCAAATGGTTTATGTTGACTGACTAATCTGGAAAAGGTTAATGATAATTACTGTAAGACTTTTTTTTTTTTAACTTGGAATTTTTATTCGAGTCCTCTTCATTTCTTTTCTCTGTAGGTTTGCCCAAGAGAATGGTTCTGTTACCCGTTATGAAATTCCCAACATATCCTGTTCCCCACTACTCATTCTTTTAGCAAATGACAGAAGCTCATTCCTATTGAACAACTATACAGTACAATGCAGAATGTTAGATTGAAAAAGCCTTTTTATCCTGCTTTCATTGAACACATACTTGATCAAAATTATTTGTAAAGAACATCTTTCCTACTTTTTGATTTTAACAAATACAAATTTAGTTCTCTAAAACTTGAAAACAGACAAACAAAAAGAAACCAGTTCTGTGAAACGGTACCTCATTTCTGGAAAATAATTTATACCAGCCCTTCTGTTTTAGGGAAATAAGTCTAGCAGTTCAAAGTTTAAGTTTTAAGAGAGTATCAGATTATGTAAAATTAAATTTGTGGAGGATGTATAGAGTCTCAGACACTGATCACAAATAAAATGCTTTGTTGTAACACAGAGTACTGCCTGGTTCCTGATCCAGTCACTGATGCTTAGCTGAGTGATATCTACTTGCCCCAGGGCACTTTAATTTGGGCTGTAGTTATTTTTTTTTTAAAATACAATAGAGACTTTTCATTTAAACTTTAACTTTGTAAATATTGAAGTGTGTAATTAAAACCAATAAAACATGGGTTTGAATATTGTTTTAGCTTATTATTTTTGATATGTTTGGTATTAAATCATAGGGAATTGTGAACTAACAATAACTTAGCCCTAGAGACCCATTCATTTGTAAGGAAACTGCTAAAACAAAGCAAAGGTGATTGTTAGCTTGAGCCAGTGTACTTGCTTTGTAAGCTCTTGTACTCTGGATGTACAAGGGCATCCCTTTGATAAAGGTTACATTCTGTTATCTCAGAATTTCTGATTAAAATGATGGCACTACTCAGAGATGGGGAAGGAAGACTGTGATTATTTTAGTTTACAATTTCCAAGTTTTAAAAAATAAATTAATTAATCACCCTCTTTTGTTCTTGTGGCCTTCTTCACTCTGTAAGATACTGTGTTCACTCCCTGGCTTTTTACATGCAGATAGATTAGCAGTTTTTCTGGGATTCCTTGAAGGGTCTCCTTTCCTCTTCAATTACATCAGAATCGAAAGCAGCAACAGGCTCCCCATAAAAACTTGCTCTTCAATTGTCCCAGTTCTTGTTGAGTGCTGCTGTGGAAAGTGACAGGTTTCAGCCATGGGTCAGCATTTATTTTTAAGACACCTATGATGCTGGTGGAAACTGATGAGTTGGTTAACATTGTGCTGTTCTGTAAAGGGTGCAGACTGAAGCCCTCCACCTGCATTCTCACCTTGTTTGGAAAGCTGATGATATTACTAGAAGGTAATGGTTTCATTAAGGTACTCACCCCCATGAAGGCAACAGTATGGTCTCCTGTCAACATTTATAAGTCACTGGACTTAACAGTATCTGTGGTTGGTGTGAACTAGCTTTCCTTTTTCCTATTAAATTCTGCTTTTCAAAACTGAACAATGCCCATCAGTGTAAGTGGGCTTTTCAAAGTATAACAAATTGAGTGCCAGATTTCTTTGAGACCACTATGAAGGTGAAATGGGTAATAAAAACACAAATGTTAGCATCACTTCTCAGATGCATAGCACACAATAATTTACTTCTTCTCCTTGACCTTTTGTCTTTATTAGTGGTGGGTGATACTTTAATAAAACCTCATCACTTGCTGGAAATAGCTGTAATTTATCATTCTCATCCTGTGCATTAGTAGCTAGACATAAACAAGAGGGGCTCATTTCAGCTGGTAGTTGTCATGTTTCATTGATTCGTTTTGCTGACCTATGGATGAAACAGAGCCATCACTGAGAAGAAAAAGCATGGCTGGTAGTACCTAGTTTTTATTAATTAAATATTTACTATAGTCCTCTGTTTTTTGGAATACTATTAATTGGCACTTGCAGTTGTACTATTATTTGAAATTGATCATCAAATTTGGAATCTCCTTGGAGATTTCGCTTTAGAAAATTTCTTTGACTTCATAACCCCTCTCTGATGGAAAAAGGGAGCTGTGCTGTTTTCCAACATGATGGCAGTCATTTCAAATGGTTTCTACCAAGTCTCTCTCTTTTTTTTTTGAATTTTGTTGTTTGTTGAAAGTTACTAACCATGTTGTAAACCTGCCCAGTTGCTGCAAACTTTTACATTTCTCTGCTTTACTTAAAATAATTGAGCTGTCAGTCCTTTGTTAGAAGTGGTAACCATGCAAGTTCAACTGTTTAAACTCTGTAATGAAATAAGTGTCCCCCCTACCTTTTGCCCTTCCTACCCCTCCATTTTGTAATGAAAATTCCACTTACAGCTGAAAGAGCAGAGAAATCTAAATGAAGCTCTTGGCTTCACCAAATTGTGTGAAATTAACATCAAGTTTTGCTTCTCTGCTCTTTTTTTCCACTGTAGGTGGTTTTTTCATTGACAGCCCCTATTGCCAGCCTCTGAGCGTCGCACCATTTATTATTCACTTGGGCCCTCAAGATTTCTTCTCTGACTTCTAGAACCATCAGGTTGTCTGGCTTGAAATGGCAATTTCTATGTCTTGAGGCTTTCCAGCTTTCAGATATACCACTCTTGACACCTTCTTTTTGAAAGCAATGACTGAGCATTTTAAAGAAGAGCAATACTTTGTCCAAAGCCACAGTGTCTGTTTTAAAACTTCCTTTGGAAACCTAGCAATATCTGTATTTAACCCCTTTAGCGTAGCTCTTGTCAGGGAGTTTACAGACCAATTAGAATTTAGAATTTGCCTGTGAGCTGTGCTATCTTCTGACACTTTTTAAACTTTTTTAGCACATAAGTCCAATAGTTACATTCCTGACTGTGTCAGCTAGCAGTATTATCATTTCTCCGAGATTGGGATCTTCCTTAAGCCATATCTTTTGGTGGGGGCTGGCGCCTCACCAGGGATGTGGCTAGCAGCCTGTGTCTCTTCAGGCTGTAGGAGTGCCCCATCTCTTGTGCCAGGTAAGGGTCCCATAGAATTCCAACATACCTCATGCTGACCAGGTAGATCACATAATCCTGCAAAGTAAGGAGTTGGGTTTACATAGTTCCTGATGTTGTTTGTTATCTCTCTTAAAATTATTAACCTGGGGAACAAACCACTGATTAATTCTGCCAGTGTTAGCCTTTTCTTTTCCTCTTTTTAAAAATTGGATGAATGTTTGAAAATCATGAATCAGTCACCATTATTAAATGAAGAGCTGGGAATACCTCGTTAATGTATTTTAAAAACTGGTGTTGGACCTCTGTGTATTTCAGGTTAATACTTTTAAGCAGTTTTCAGCACGTTTATCTCACTTTATTCTCGTTCTCCTCGGACCTTCGTAGCCATATCACTTGTATAAAATAGGCTGAGATATAGTGACTGTAAGCTGTGATCTCAGTATACAAAGGTAAGCTCTTTTATTTTCTGATTAAAGAGAAAAATAACGCAGCCTGCATAAATGACAATCATATGATGTATTTGATCTTTTAGGTCTTATGTCATCACATTACTTAAAAAATTTTTTATGGTCTAAATAAAATGTAAAATAGTTATTTTCAGCATTTGTCTTAATACCCTTGTAAAATGCTTTTTATTCAAGAGATACATGTCACATTCACTTAGAAGTGTATGTGTATAGAAATGTAGAGTTTAACATGTATGCAAATTACATGTACATGCAGATACTTGTTTAAATATAAACATCCAGTGGTAGAACCAGATCACCTAACAAGTGATGAACAGGGCGCGCTCTTGGCCAAAGCGCTGAAATTTCAAAAGCAGCAAGATTGGTGACAGTGCTGTTGGATCCATATGTGTAGCTGCTACACAAGCTCAGAATCAAAGTGCCAATTTCTCAAGGAGAGAAACTTCTCTGAGAAATGAAAATCTCTGATCTGTGTTGTATGCCCAGTACAACAACAGCAAGAAGCCATATTTTTATTTTTAAAAAAAAAGCAATAGAGAATGAAAAATCAGACAAATTAAAGAACCCAAACCATTAAGGTAACTATGGGAAATAAATGTAATTGATTGAGTTGAGCTAATTATTTGCAGAATCAACTTTGGCAAGATTCAGAAAAGTGAATACTGAGTCTGTGGAGTCAAATAGACAAGACTTTTCTAGGTTAGCAGCTAAAATAGTTATTTCCCACTTTGTTCAGTCATTATGGAGTTCATTTGAATGCTGTGAGGGCTAGGCCAAATATTTTAATAAGGATTTGCTTCATTCAGTGTGACCAAAATGCATTGTGTACTAGATAATCTTTGCTAAGGCTGTATTTTACATACATATGTATGTATATATGTATACACGTATATACACATATATGTAGGGAGAGAGATTAAAATGAATTTCATGTTTTATATTTGTTTCTGAGCAGTTTATTACTAACTATAAGGTTGCTAGAACAACTTTTTTCTCCATACAGAATCTGTATGTACAGTTGATGAGGCTTTGGCATTTGTAAAAGCTTTTCCAAGGTAGAGCTGATTGGTTCCAAGTGCAGCCCAGTCCTGCTCATGCAGTCCAGGGCCTAAAGGGTATCAGGCCCTTGGCTGGGTACCAGGGAACAGAGGTTTGGAGAAGTGGAAGAGTTCAACGTCTAAGAAACTCATTGATGGAATTGGCTCTTACTATAAATGTTCTACTTTGGGAGACAAATTGTGCTAGCAGTGGCAAAACATAATTTAGTATAATTACAAACTACTGAATAATAGCTTGCCCTTTGATGTCACTGAGCTTGGCATCACTTAACATATTTCCCTGGCGCTTTTGAGGACCTGAATCCTCCTCTGGTTTATATTCATGAACCTGTCCAAGTTTGTAACAGAATGGAATGAATGACACTTCACTCCTTTCAATGTAGTTTTTATGGCACCACAAAGGACAAAGTGGTAATATAGTGACTATGTTTTTTGATAATGGGAGAGGTGGTACTATTAAAATCATTTTCTATACTCTCCCTTTTTTACGAATAATTGGAAGACAATACTCAATAGTGAGTTAGGGGAATAAGCTGTCATTGTTCCTACTTCCCTTTCTTTACCCTCCTACCCCTCCGCCCCCCGCCCCTCTCAGGTATTTCAATCTCTAGCAGTTTAGAGCCTTAAAGAACAGAAAAAGCTAAGAAAATCATTCTTCCCCTGTCATTCCCACTCTTTGTATGCCAGTGTCTGCTAAGGAAGGTGAGGGATCTCTGAAGCCATCTAGAGCCACCAGGGTGTCATGGTCTTCAAGCTTATTCATCTGATGCCATGTGGCCAGTGACTTTGGGTTGGTTTCTCTCTGACTAGGGGACTAGGGAGGTGATTGGTAAATGAACAGAGCTAAGCACCTCTCTGAAGCAAGTTTCAGTATCAGTACATTTTTTGTCTTGTACTTACTTACAGAGCACAGAGCTTCTTAGGTTTTCTTTTTTTAAATTAGTCCCTTGTTTTCCTTAACAATATCTTCCAGAAAGACTGTTAATCAAGAATTTAAGTTGAGTTAGTTGTAAGAATTGATATCCTTTTCAATATTATCATTATATTTGGAAGTTAATAGTGCCATGGATATCTAAGTGGTGATCTTTAGAGGCTTTAAAGGATTGTACCATAATGCAACTTGGGTTATGTAAGTTTTGCAGGACAGCTAGAAGTA